GTATGCATGTATGTATGCAGGTATGTATGTATTTATGTAGTTACGCATGTGTGTGTGTGCGCTGCGTGTGTATGTATGTTGACATGTATTTATGCACGTGCGTAAGTATTTGTCTATGCACGTATGCTCATCTGCATGTATATATGTATGGGTGTATGTAATACTGCAGCGAACCTCTCACTTCTACCTACATTAACGCGCATGTGCTTCTTTGTATCCATATACAAGACTCTACACACCATTGCTGCGGCCACCACTACCTGGATACAGCTCCGAGGCAGCCGGCCTGCACACCCAGAGAGAGAAATGCTGCACAGTAGGCAAAGGCCAGGAGCCGGCGAGCCAGGAACCCCGCGACGTGGAAGCGGCCTGAAGGTTCGTTTTTGGCGGGTTTTAAGCTTTCCTGGGGTGCAGGGCCCATGAACCCTAAGCCTTCGAGCCCAGAGATCATTGTGACGAACTTTGGCTTCCGAACGGTCATGAAGGCATGGTTTTGAGGATGCGGCTGGAGACATAGATGATATTGTGTAAATAAATAAATAAATATATATATATATACACATACACACACATCCACATGAAACGACATGAAATGAACACGGTCAGACATGAGGTGATATGATATGATATGCTATCATATGGTATGATGTCACCTGATAGGATCCGATATGATAAGATATGATATGACATCCTAATAAGAAAAAACGATCGAACTCCACTTCCAAGGTCGCACCTCTAAGCCCTAAACCCTCAACCATAATTATCTATAAACTTGCCATGATAACAGTCTCGATGGAAAACTCAGCTGCCGCAGCCAAAGCGAACCCACATGACGATATTAAGACCTGCATCAGAAATGCATGGATGAAGGTAGGATAGTTAGCACGTGTTCCAAGACCTGCAGCACGACTTGCTGCTCAAGGTACTCCAACTGGTAAACTCTTTTCTGCACGCTAAACTTCATCTACGAAGTTAACCTTGGCATGTTGTGTTGACCTGTTCTTTCCGATTCCGGACTCTAAACCATAAACTCTAAACCGCAAACCCGACACTCCCAAACCCAAAACATTCGTAAGCCTCTCCCTAACCCCCCCGGGTACCTACTAGATAGGGTACTAGAGCCCCTAGGGCCCTATATAGTAGATACCTGGAGGGTTAGGGTCTACGAAGGAGAACAGCTGAAAAGTGCCCTCCAGGCACCTCGATCCTCTGGCCGCGACGAAGGTCCTGGAGCCGCCCGCGCCCGGCGTGCCTGGGGGATTAGGGTTAGGGGTTTAGGGTTTTAGGGTTTAGGGTTTTAGGGTTTAGGGTTTTAGGGTTTAGGGTTTGGGGTTTAGGGTTTGGGGTTTAGGGTTTAGGGTTTGGGGTCTAGGGCTCAACGGCAGAAGTTTGGCGCGAAGCGCTGGCGTCAAGCCATGCAGAACCCTTAAGCTGTCGTACTTGGAGGTTCATGGGTGGATATAAGTGGGGTTGTATAAGTCTCCTAAAAAATAACTATAGTTAGCCAACTTGTAGCCCGCACTGATATGCACTCATGAACTTCCAAGTGACCCTGTTGCGGCTGAAGCCCCGCAACCGTCGAGAAAGTGCATGTCCAGGGACTTGAACAGTTGCGCTGGGGCTGCGGGCTCAGGTTTTAAGTCTTATGGGACTCCCAAAACCAAACGCATACCATCCGCTATAGGTGGCAAGTTGCCTTTGGGGCCATCGTGCGTGCGGCCGGGCGCAAACGCGCATGGAAAGGCGCAGCCGGGAATTGTGCTTCGTTGTGATGTGGCTTTGGGCATGTAGGCATTCTCTCTTTACAGCATTATTGCATTAGTCTCGGGAGTCGTCTTTACTTCAGGACTGCGTCCCACAGAAACCCTCGAGCAAAGGTCAGCAATGCAGGTCCGGGACTTTCGGCCACTTCCCTCGGGAGCCAAGTTGCTTTTCTGTCGATATGGTTGCGTCGATTGTGTGGTAGCTTGTTCTGGTCATGTCCAGGCTGGAAGCATTGATTGCAGCAGCTATGCAAGGTTTAGTTTACGGTCTTGCGTATCGGGTGTTCCTGCCATGCATCAGGTGCTGCTTCCTTCATGCTGGACTTGTGGCACATGAGCCTTTGCAGCTGCCGGTTTAGGCTTTAGGGTCAACTTGGTCAACATATCAGCTGCTAGAATACAGCCGTCTCAGGTGCAACCCTTACTGCCACCAATGTTGCTTCCGCCGAGAAGGCATGATTAACCAAAAGCCCTAAACCCTAAAGCCTATAACCTGACACATCCTGAGCGGAGGTAAAGTTGAACAGCTAACCTCACCGGTTTTCCAATTGGTTTCTCCGTAAGGTTTAGGCTTTATAGGGTTAGGACACCTAAGCGCAGCTGAAACCGACGTGACGAGGGGCTGACTCATTGAGTCATAGCAGTGGCACCGATAGAATGAAGCAGCTCACATTTTACAATGTGTGGACCTGTCTGAACATGCTCAGTCATGATTCCTGCACAGACTATTAACCAAAGGGTCCATATACCCAAATCGCATATTATACTTGGGCCGTCATACTTGAAGTAGTCGCTTTGTAGGTACTTTAGGGTCCAAGGATATATACCATCAACCATGATGCACATAGAGCTTGCCAGTAGCCAAGTAGCGGGTATTCCCAGACTAGTATGGGATGACGGATGAATGGCTTCGGGTCCTCACCCCTAAACCCTAAACCCAAACCCCAAACCCTAATAAACCTCAATCGGAGATTTTGCAGATCAGTTCCCGATAAGGAGGGTATAATCTGTGGGACCAGAAGCTGCTCTTGGTCAGGTTCACGGGCAGTCAAAACCCAGTTCCTAGACCGTGGCCCAATATATCCACGTTCTGAACCCACGTAAGATGGACAACAAAAATATCTAAATGCGTGTGTCTGTACATATATATATATAAACCCTATGCATCGGCCGATAGGAAAACCAGGATTCGCATGGTAGTTTCAAGCGGAGGGGTTCCGATTGGTATTTTCAAGCGGGGCCAGTAGGTTATTGTGACAATAAAAACCTAGCGAGGAACCTAGCGGAGAGTGGAACATAAGTCAAGCGGAAGCACATCCTGTTCGATTGTTTTCTCACTTCTCATTGCATTTTCCATTCTACACCCATAGCGAAAGCATTGATGAGAACCTAGCGAAGAACCTATAGGAGGACCTCATGTTCCTAGCAGGTCCACTAGGAAATACCAGGAGCACCTGGTATCTTCAAGCGTAGCAGATTCGATTGGTAGTTTCAAGCGGAATGCCTTGTTTTTTCAAGCGTTCGATGGTTAGGGTATATACATACACGAGTATATATATGTGTATGCACATGTATCTATGTCCTTGGTTTTGTGCATTTGCTTTGTTGCCTAAAGTAAAGGCCAGACCTATAACCACTTGGATAACGAGGTCCCTGCATCCTTTTAGTAAGCCCCAAACCCCGAAGCCCGAGCTCCATGCCCTAAAGACAGAGGTTTAGGGCTTCTAGGGCCTCTAGGGTTTAGCCGGGCTTCAGGCAATGAGAGGGCGCCAGCGTCCCGGAGCACCTGTCGTAAAGCTGATCTCTCATGTTGGATTACGTGGATTTCTGCTCGCTTCAGGGCGTCAGGATCTTGCTTGAGCCACCCATTCATACTTGAAGTTCAGCCCCATAAAGCCCGCCAAAACATAGACCCTAGATCCTAAACTCTATAAACCCTTTTAGCACTGAGCCCTAAAACCCTAAAGGTTGCAATCACACAGCCCGATGTGGGAAAGCAGGAACATGCGGCTTGAAAGAGGGTCCACGGCCCGAACCAATGACTGAACTGCAATTCCTAAAGGGCCTGGGACCTTTTCTAGTAGAATGTCTGGTTTCGATAATAGGAATTACTGCTATGACTTGAGCAAGTGCCCCCCCCCCCCATACAGGTACACAGGACCCTCTGGGATCTTACACAGAGTACAGGCTTGCATCTAAGGCCTGCCGGACAAAGCATGGAACTCCCACTCTTGTGCACTTCAGCCGGGAGGAAAATGTCACGAAAGCCGTCATCGATTCAACCACCCTACTATCTGATCTCGGAACCTACGTACCTCACCCCAGACCCCCAAAGCTCTGAAGCCCTAAAAGTCCTAAGGTCTAGGCAGAGCCTGGGAGATGTAGCTTCGTACCCTGTGAATGTCCAGGTCAAAAACCCCAAAGTCTCCTTAACTAGACGCGAGCCACAAATCGTAAGGCTTGCTTAAACGCCCCGAACCCCTGAACTTCCGAAATCTTCTAGCAAGTTCAGTTCTACAATGGTTGAAGGCCCTGAACCCTAGAAGACTGTAAAGTCCCCAATCCCAAAACTCTACAAACACAAACTCTCTCCAAAGCCCAAGACTCCAAACTAAACAATAAAACATCACATGTAAACCCCAAAACACCGACAACACGAAAACGTATGAAGCAGAAAAACCCAAGTCATAAACAGCGAAAAAAACTATACACCCATCACACCCCCAGGACAGCCTACGACTCAACATCCTTCAAGCTAATACCCAAACCCTATAGGCCTTACAGGGATACCTAACCCCAATATAAACCCTGAACCCTAAACCCTCAACCCTAACCAGTAACCTTAACGCTACAAAAAACAAAACCCTAACCCGCAGCCTTCGTCCTAGACCCATGTCCACAGGGCCCTACTGTTGATGATATAAATCCTGCATTACCTTAAGGGCCCTAAACGATGGGAATTATGGTATATTCCTTGTTATGGGTCATGCAGGTTTTATATCATCAACCGTAGGTACTGCTATGGGAGATACTTCCCCAAACCATATAATTAATCGTAATTGCTAATAAAGAAACCCTACCTTCGAGCATATAGCTTCTAAGACCCTAAACCCTAAACCCTAAACCCTAAACCGTGGGATAAAGGACCCTGTAGATCCCCTAACCCTAAACCCTAGGCCCTAAACCGCAGCCTTAGTCCTGGACCCATAAAACGATCCCTATAGGTCCCTTAAACCCTAAACCCTAAACCGTGGTCCCTATGTAGATCCCCTAAACCCTAAAACCCTAAACCCTAAACCCTAAAACCCTAAACCCTAAAACCCTAAACCCTAAAACCCTAAACCCTAACACCCTAAAACCCTAAACCCTAAATCCTTAAACCCTTAAAAAGGAGACAGGCAAGGGAGCCCCCCGAACCTCCCCGAGGATGGCACTCCCCGAGTTAGACAAAAGCAAGACGGCTTTCATCTGGGCCGTGGGTTAAGTGGTTAAGGGCTTTATAGGGTTTAGGGGTTAAGGGCGTATAGGCTTTTTTGGGGTTTAGGGGTTTAGGGTTTAGAGGGTTGAGGGTTTTTTTGGGCTTTGGGGTTAGGAGTTTATAGGCCTTGGGGTTGGGAGTCTATAGGCTTTGGGGTTTGGGGGCTTAGGGCTTAGAGGG